GTTGGATAATAAAATAATGAAGTATGTCTTTTATTTGAAAGACATACTCCATTATTTTATTATCCAACTTTTATTTGAAAGACATACATAAATATTATCAGTTTTTTTCCTAAAACTGATAATATTTTATCAGTTTTAGGAAAAAAATTAAAAATGTATAATTAAAAAAAGTGATAAAATCTATATTTTAAAATTATTGTACATTTTTAATCTTCAAGGTCAACAAAATAATGATTTATTACCACTATCGATTCATTGTCTGATAAATTTATTGCTTAATGGTAAGAGGTTATGGAACAGATGTCAGATGGAGCCAAATCATGCAAATAAAATGGATAGGATAGCAAATCATACTATGATTTTTGCCATAGAAACAATACTTTATCCTGATAAAAAATGATTTCTTCTTTGATAAATCTGGTTTTTTCTTTTTTGTTTAGTTGATCCAAAGGGTTATCTTAATATTCAGTCATTTGGAAGACAATATTTCCTTAGCATTAAATAAATAAATAAAAAAAGCTTCCACAGACAAAAGAGGCAGACAATTTTGACTACTTTTTTGCAGATGAAGTATAACACTTACTTCCTCTATTTCAACTGCTGTTTTGTTTCCAGTGAAAATTGGTAATCACAAGTTTCATCAGTGGTCACAACAAATAGACAAATAAAATCAGTCATATCCATTTTACAACACTCGAAATAATCTTAAGAAATTTGCATTCATGTACATCTTTGATCAATTGCTAGCAAGTATGGCACCCATCTCTCAGGCAGGTTTTTTCATACCTAATTTGTTGGTTTGGACCACAGAATTAGCAATTTCAGACACTTTCAATCAGTAATCTTCCAAATCATCATCATGCAGTTTATAAATAATTTTAGAGGTTGCATTTCTTGGACAAGCTTGTACACCCATGTTTAAATTCTGCAACCCATTTTTAGAAAAAACAAAAAAAGTCATTTGTTTTTGAGTCCCATTCATAGCAATCTGAAAGTTTTTATTTGGTTGTCAGAAGCGAGTCAAAGACTTTCCCAAGTAGTCAATTTCTTTAGTGTACCACTCACTGAGTTGCTTGTTTTGCAACTCAGTGAATGGCACTATTTTGCAACATCACATGCATATTATACTACTTTGTACTGCACATGTATGGCAATCCAACACAGAGATGAAGTAGTGGGAATTTAAAAAGAGGTGAAGGGGAGGGAGCATGTTGTTAATAGACACCTCTACATGTTATATCAGACTCAGCACTCCTGCAGACAGACACCAAAAATGCTATATGCTTTGTACAGGTATCAAAATTTTCACTTCATTTTTCTCCTTTAAGTAAAAAATTACTTCCACCAAACTTTGTCATTCAGTAGAACAATGGTATGATTTAAAAATATGTGAAAATAGGCAAAAAAATCAAAGATGGGAATGTTTTGAGCTATTCAACTTTAAACATTGAAGAATTGAAAACTTAGTACAAAAATGTTAGAATGAAAAAAACTAGAATTATTGTTTCATGTCCCTTTATCTACAAAATGCAACAAACCACATCTCTAACGAATTTAGTTTCTGAGACACACACATTCAAGTAAATAGCAGCTTTTCAAAAAAGTTCAAAACTTGAAAACTAGTGTAAAAATCATTAAAAAAAATGAAAATTTTGCAGAACATTTTGGCAGATCTTTATAAGGGTACAAAATGAACTCACTCCATAAAAAAAAAAATCAACAAAATCTGGCATCATGAGGGGTCAAATCCTACCTGAGCTGACATGCAATGATCCTTAGTGTAATAAATTTAATTTGCTTAATTAAATGTATACAAGACAGAAATTTTTAAAGTAACATAGTACACATTTTTTACTGTATAGTTGATATATATATATATAAAATTATTTTTTGGTTTTAATTTTCAATATTTTATAAGCTGAAAGTTTTTATATCTGAATTATTATTTAAAATTAAATTTTCATATTTCATAAAAACTATGTATGTAGAATGTTACTTTTCTATAAGATTCTTTTCTTTTTCTTGCTTCTTTTTTCAAAGCTTCTTGCTTTCGATGAATTTCTTCCTGTATTTCTCTATGCTAAAGTAAGATTTAGAAGTGTTTTTTCAGTTGCATCACCAATACAGTACAGAAACCTTACTTAAACAATTTGATAAAAAAAACTTACTTCTCTTTGTTCCTGAATTTCTTGTTTTCTCTTTATTTCTTGGGCTTCTTTTTCCTCAGTACATCTTTTATTATGTACCATTTCTTCATAAAAAGATTTAAACTGGGGTTTGTTATGTTGATGGAGAAAATTTTGTACATCTTGACATAACTCATAAATCATTTCCTAACAAAATAAAGGTGAATATCATAAATTTCTCTTTCAGAATGCATGAATATTATAATCATAACAAGATCTAAAATATAAAGTAAATTTAAGAATCAGTCTGGAAAGAACTATAAATTTAATCCCTTCTAATTTATTCAAATAACAATTTGAATTACTTTTAAACTGTTAAATATTTTTACAAATTTGTTAAATTCAATTTAAATTATGTTCTTGTTATAAATTTATATAACATTTATATTTATTTGTAATATTATTTTACAAAATTTAAACTTGGAAAAAATTTATGTAGATTTGAAAGTTTTTTAAAAATAAAATTCTGCAGTTTATATGACATTAAGCAATGATAATTTTGGCGATTTTATCAAAAATTTTATTTAGATTGTTATCCATTAGAAAAAAATGACTTTCCTGAAAAGAAAACTAAACATTTCTAGTAAACTTAGAAATTCTGTCACATTAATTTAATAAAAAATTTTAATTAAATGAAATATTAACCTTTGCTTTTATTTTTTTTGAGTTCAAATCAGTGTAAAAATGTGTAAAATGATTTTACTTGTGTTTAGTAAAGAACTTTTAATTAATATTTTTAAAATTGTTTGAAAGTCAAACTAAATACACACACTTAACAATAAAATTAAGTGGCATAACAAAGATATTTGGTGGACTTGCAAAATCAGCACATTTTAATTGTTCTCGTAGCCAATTTTTTTGTTATTTTTACAAAAATACAAATAAGATTAAATTAAGTAATTATTAAATGATCAAATCACTAATACAAATTAATATCATTAATTTCTTTCTTTTATAAGATAAAAATTTTGATTAGCATATCATGTTATAGTAGCCAAATATTTATTTAGGCTGATTATATATGAGAGATTTCTTTATCATACTATCACAGAATTTATAACTATAACATATCACAGATGAACATTTTATTAAAATTATTTGAAACAGATATTTGAAAACTGGTAAAAGAAAATATGATTATAATTACAATTATTATTTATGATGATATTTTTTATTATAATTAATTATTATTACACAATATCGACATGTGAGCTTACCACGTGGGTAGCTAACAAAAACAAATGTTTGAAATATGAGCCAAGTATGAATGGTTTACTAATGGCTAATCACATACTTAAAAGTATTTAAAATGGTTTATATTGTAATAAATTATGATCTAAAATTTGATTTCATTATATCAAATATCAATATGTAATAATTATTAGTGAATTATATTATTTAAATGAAAGCTCTAAAAAATTAAAATAATTCATTAAAAATCTGAATTCATTCAAATAAATTTCATAAATTCCTCAAGAACAATAAAAGTAAATCTAAAAATTACAGTTGGATAATTGTAATTTTCAATACAAATACAGGAAATCCTTGTTAGTTCTAAATTTAAGGGATGAAATAATCATGACTTCAAATTATCAAGTTTTAAATTATCCAAGATTTATATAGTTCTGTACAATATAACTGCCATATAACTGATAATTTATTAAGCAAACAGAATATGGATATATATATAGAACACTATTTTTGTTAATTAATAATAATAATATAAATAAACTGCAGGTAAACATTACATGTCTGGTGAGAACCTCACAGGTTGCCAGATAGGTTTTATAAAAAGTAAGGGTGTGACTATGCAGACGCAAGCAAAAAAATTTTCCGAGTGAGCAAGAATGTGGTGAGAAGAGGTGACGACATTTCACGTTTGCTCACGTCTGCATAGTCACACCCTAAAGCAAAATTCCTCAAAATGTAGCTCAAATTACTTTTAAAGAAGCCTAAAAACTGCTAAGCTGCACAAATATAGTAGCATAGAGCTCTACAAATATCTCAATCTGTTACTTGTAGCCCAATCTTGCAATCCTGAAAACCAGGCATATTTATGAGATATGAGGAAAAGAGGGAAAAAAAACCAGGAAAGTCCATGGGTAAAGTGAACCTGAAAACATTTATTCCATAATGCACTTGAACCTGAAGTTGAGTTATTATGTGACACAAAGACATTCTCATTACAAATTTTTACTGCTGAATAAAAATAAAAGTTGCATTTCTTCTTTTTAAATAATAGAGTTATTAGATTGTTTTTCTTGTTAGACTAAAGTTTTGTAATTAAACACACAACAATTAACACCTAAATGCTAATTCCAGCACTGAATGAACAAAAAATTTTAAGAATGGCCTCTAAAAGACGGCTCTCCTCAGGATGAAACACAAAAAAAAAAAAAAAAAAAGTTCTATCATTTAAAAAAGTCTCAAGGGCTTATTCCCACTGCTCTGAAACTTCTGATATCTACAGAGAACTGAAACACATCAAACATATAGCATCGGCACACAGGTACCACCAGTCCTTAATAGACAACAGGCTAACTGCCAACCAGCAATCTACAATAACTACCACCAACACGTGGGTTAATGATGCGCAGCACAACCAGGTAGCTTTATCTTACGAACTGTCCCTTCAACAAATTTTTAGTAAAATCGCTAAGGAGTTGAATGTGCACTTAACATATAAGAGAAAACAGAATATTTTCTGACTTATCTAATGCTAAGGACAAGTCCGATGGTAAAGCACCAGGGGTGTACCGCATCCCTTTGAATGATGAACATTTCAATCATAGGATAACATACATTGGATCTACATACAGATCTCTTGAGACTAGAATACGGGACCACAAATATGATGTGTCCAAGCAGAGATATATACTGCTCTAGACAAGTATGCTACTGAACCTGGAGTCTCCCCATGTTGGGATGAAGCTACTCTTTTGCATAGGGCCTTTGACCGACACGACTTACGCTCATTAGAAGCTATTGAGATTTACAGTAGAACCCCTCTAGTTCACCCTCGGCTAGTCCGTCGCTCTGGTTAATCCGATCGTGGTTGTAGTCGAGAAACTTGTCCCGACTCGTCGGTGACTCACCGTCCGTGGCGTTTTTCTGTGTTCGTTACAGTATATGTTTTACATTGTGTGTACGTGTACAGTTCTGTGCGTGTTTTCAACATGTCAGGAGTGAAACGTAAACACGTTACTCTTTCATTAAATGAAAAATTAGCGGTGCACAAAGACTGGACAAAGGGGAAGATTGTTATTTTACTTTTTTCTGATAATCCGACCTTTTTTGCGTTCCGACCATACCCCCAGTCCCAAAGGTGACAGATTAGAGGGGTTCTACTGTATATAGAAAACATGAAGGGAAACTGCATTAACTCTGAGTATATTCCGATTCCACAATCACGGAAGTATTATTTACATTGCCACAAAGCACAACAATAATTGTATGTGTAATTATTTTTCATCTTTCTGCTTTGTAAAAGAAAACAATTTCCACGTCGTTTACATTGTGGTAATTTTTACAACGCTATAATAATAATTTATGTATAGCCTTATTTTAAAATAATTATTTTTATGTTGTAAACGTAATGATTTTTATATCATATGGTACATCGTTTAAATGTTTAAAAATTTGGAACACAGATGTATTCAACGGTTAGAAGTTTTTAAATGATAGAACTGTTTTTTTTGTGTGTTTCATCTTGAAGAGGGCCTCTAAAAGATGGCCAAAAACATTTGAGCATTATAATTTTTTGTTCATTCAGTGCTGGAATTAGCATTTAGGTGTTAATTGTTGTCTTTAGTACAGTAGAACCTCGATTATCTGGACTAATTGGGGATGAAGGTAGTCCGGATAAGGAAAAATCCGGATAATCGAAACAAATACTTTAATTTGTCTTTTAATGATAATACAACACGTTTTCTTTTCGATGACATATCGGTAATATTAAAAGTAAATACAGTATTTAAATCGTGATCAAATTTTCAAGAAACAAACGTTCGTATTGAATTTGGACTACTATTGACCAATGCTAACAGACTACCTATTGTTTAAAAGGCCCTCTGATGGGGCAAGAAGACGGATTTTATAAAATAAAAAGCAGTCGAAACTGCATTTTTATGAATAAAAATTTGACAAACTATTTATCGTTTTATGACGAGTAAAATTTTTTCGTCTCGTTTGCGGCTTTTAAGTAATGCATAAACCTTCGAGGCGCGAGGCCCTTCAGACCGTGAGGCATAGGCGGTGGCCCACGTCGTCCATGCCTTACGCCGCCCTTGGTCATAGAAATGATGTAATTTGAATATAAATTATTTATAAATGCGTATGTCAAGTTATGTTTTTATTACTACGTAAAATATATTTAAGAGTTTATGACCACTGTGCTGGGTGAGACGTTGTTGAAACAAAAAAGTTATGCATTCCATCACGTACATAAACAGTGTTGTAATTCGCCAAGTGCAAATCAGCAAATTCGTAAAATTTTTGTTTATTTTGAACAATCCGGATAATCGAAAATCCGGATAATGGAGGTTCTACTGTATATAGTTCCAGTTTACTTGTGCCAGTTTTTTGTCTGATTAAACATACAGTATCACATTTCAATTAAAATACTTTAAAGAACATCTCATATACAGTAGAGTCTTGATTAATGGAAACTTGTTTAATTTTACTGAATTGTGGAAGAACACTTTGTAATAAAGGAAAAAAGAACAGTAAAATTACTGAAAGTAGTTCATTTTACAAATCTTGGCTGCCGATGTGTAATACAGTAGAGTATCGATTATCCAAAACAATTTGGGCTGGGTTGTGAAAAATTTATGAAAAAATATATTAAACACTGAACTGTACTGTACATATTTTTATCACACGTCTTACAAATACATATCTTACATAAAGTAGTACATTCAAGTAGGCCTACAGTTTACATTAGTAGGGAGGGGGAGAGTGCTGCAGCACCATAGCACTAGAGGAAATTTGGATTTGCCGACTGGAATGCTTTTGGTTAATCGATGTTTCAGTTGATCAGTATTCGGATAATCGATGCTCTACTGTACTATAGTCTTGCAAAGAATTTAATCTGGTGACTTCTCACATGAATTTAAAAAGATGTTTGAAACAACGTTCAATGTTCTTGTATGTTTTTCACATTTTGCATTAAACATTGTGTTATCTAAATTTTTTATTATAAAGGTATTTCAGTCTACATTACATCTGATAATCAGGACTATACTGTATATTTGGCTATATAATCAAATTTAAAATTAACTAAATATAAACATCTTACTTCTCCTTTTAACGCACGTGCCTTAGTCTTCAGTTGTTTCTGTAGACCAGTGATGAGTTGTGTCGACAGTCCTTTTGTATTTCTTAACTCTAATTTAGGAATTCTGTTACATTTAAGGTCATAATATTAGTTTATAATCTTAGTCCAATAATACATAACGAATATATTGAATACTCACTCATTGGGGTAATTGCTAGTAAACTTTACATACAGATCAACTTGTACATGAATTTCTTTACATGCAGTCATACTTTGTTGAGGTCGAAGAGTTATTAACATCTCGGGAGATCTCCAGATCTAAATTATGAGTGTTTTTAAAAAATAAATTACAATTTAGGAATAATTTTTAAAATATATTAATGATTTTAAATTTATGACGACCTTCCAAGCATTTCTCTGCCTGAGATCCTTCAAATCATCTGTAAAAATTGATTGAAGGGCTTGAAATTCGTTCTCCTGTCGTTCTTGTAGCGGTTCTTCTGAAACATCTGTCATTTCTGACTCGTCCGAATTTGCATAAGTTTAAAATTAGTTAGCGAAATCCGAGAATATCCTCGGACATTCGTGTCATAATCACAGGAAGACCACGCGACACATCTTATATTTGTATTTCCACAACATTCTACGTCAGCAAGACTGTCGCGCCGCCTGCATTATTGAGAAAATAAAAATTTAAAATATCACAATTTATATTTTCTATAAATAATTACAGTAACAGACAAGCCCGGCGTTGCCAGGGGAAAAAAATAAAAACAAACGTTATTTCGTACATCTAACCTTTCTATTACATTATATTATTTGAAATATATTTACAACGGTTACATTACATCGAGTCAAAGCCTGGACTCCACATTACCTGAAAACAGAACCGAAACACATAGAGTTTTCGTTCTTTCTTCTTTGGTGTTGTTTATATGGAGATTTTAGCTCAATATAGGCTCTTTCTCCGATTAGACATTATTGTGTACGATCGTTATGCAACCGATTTGCCAGCCGTATCCGAACGGCCTATACGTACGCGCGGGAATTAATGCCTTACGGGAGGACTTTTATGGGGAACTGGCCTCCTATTCAGTCGTTATTGGCAAGGAGAAAACCTGGAAAACTCCAAGCAGCCAGCCTGTCCGATCGCGGCGCGAACCCACGACCGAACTTCCCAGTGTTTAGGGCCTGGTCACCGCTATGAGCGGCAACGGAGACCACTCGCCCACTGGTGGAGGCTAGAGTTTTCGTTACAGTGGCTAGAAAATATAGTGTCGAAAGCGCTTATATTCCTCCATTATAACCGTTCGGTCCATACATCGAGGTTAGTGACGTCACAGACAAGGTGGCGCTGATGTCAATCGTACTGCTACTTTCGCTTTGGCTACGTGATATCCTTTCTTACAAGAACATCGAAAGCGATTAAATTTGTGCTTGTAAAGTGAATAAATCCTTAGGAAATGGCTGAACAGAAACTTTACTGACTTGTGTATTTCTAATTTATAGATATTACTCTACTGTAATTTTTAATTCTTTTATTTTTGTCGAAAAGGGTGAGAAATCTACATGCATATTAATCTGTAATTTTTTAAGAGAGATTTTTCAAATATAAAGTGTATATGCATGGGTACTTGGCAGTAGACTAATAATCGTTTATTTGTACATACTTAATTTTGTAATTTTATATTGGGACAATAAAGTAACATTCTGCCTTTATATTTTATATACTGTGTAGAATTTAATTGTAATTTTAATATTGCTTTATACTATGTCACATAATACTGTGAACAGTATACAGTATTATGTAACTGATGGCATTTGCTTAATAAATTCTATTTTAGGCCCTCACAGTGGAAGAGGTTCACAAAGCCATATAAAACTTACATTTTATTATTAAAAATATGATAAATTCTGTATTTTTTTAGTAAATATGAATAAACCTTGTTGTTAATAAGGTAATAACAAGAGTAGATTACTCTTGTACTCTAAATAATACTTGTTTGTACAGCACTCAACAGCTGTAATGTAAAAATAGACAATACAGTGTAGGCTATTTGATTTAATAAGAATCTTAATTAGCTTTAATAAAATGAATTCCTTCATAAATGTTAATAAAGTAATACTATATAATAATTGATTGCTAGTGATATGATTTATTATCGATCTAAATTCTTTTACTTGGCTACAGCACATTTACTATGCTTAAAAATCCCACTTAAAACCAATATAAACATAGGATGATACAGCCAGTGTAGCACAACGATTGACAGCAGCGCCTCTTGCGGCAACCTCCAATATAGGGACAGAAAATAAGCTCGATTTCGACACTATATTTTCTAGCCACTGTAGTTTTCGTTTCAGTTATGTTTTCGTTTTAACTTGACTCCACTAGATATGCGCCATCTGTTGATCAGTTCTGTAATTATCGTAGAGTCAAATATGGACGACTCTACGGAGTTTGCTATGCTTACTCTGCATTTATTAACAATGAAATTGTTAATAATCTTTGAATTATTTACATTTTTTGTCGTACAGACATCTGTATTTTCTAACTTCTACGATGAAGAATTCCAAATCTATTTGTTTCCTCATCCTTTTCGCTACAATATCTGCCATTACGACAAACAAACTACACGTGACTACGCGTCACGAATCCTTGCGTTTTTATTGGTTGTAGTACGACAGATGCGCGGAACGAAAAGGAAAAGTTAAATAATTTTTAACTCTGCTTTCAGTCTTGCAAAGAATTTTCAAAATGTGTTAGAGTGGGCACTCGATGTAATAAACTCTTACGTAATATAATCTTTGTAAATATATTTCAAATTCTATAATCATCATAATTAATATATATTATAAAGGTAAGTGTACAATGTGCGTGCTGTTAAAACCAGGGGCGTGCCGTGACATTTGATGATAGGGAAGCTGTGTTTCTATAAGAAGCCGACATCCAGGGGCAATCAGTTAATTCTTTCTTTAAATGTATTTTTAATAGATTATTTATCTGACGTACTTAATAAACAAGTTCATTATAATTACCTCTGTTATTAGATCCAATATATTCCATATGCCCTCTAAATGCCAATTCTTGCTTTGATAA